GACCGCTCGGCCATCTTGCCTTGATTTTACTGGCATGGTTATGATCCAAGTAGCGGGGCGCGAGGGGCAGCCCTCCGCAGTCGCGCGCGATCAGCGTGCGCAACACTCGACTTTTGCGGCTTCAGTCGTCGACCTGGAATTTTCCTCGGACACTGGACCTCTCACTCTCTTTGTCGCGTGCTCGATCGAGTATGATCGGATGGCATTTTCCGAGCCTCGGGGGGCAGCACGCCATATCCATGGCAGATGTCACCACGACCGAGGCCATCATTCTTCTTGCGCGAGTCTTGAACCATCATGAAATAACTAGCTTTAATTAGCACATTTTCTAGTAGAGTCTTACACGAGACTCTTTGTCCGCATACTACTTAATCAACTCTAAGGCTGGCTCCTCCCATTATTCCCATCCGCCAGGTTCTCCGTGCTCCGCCCAGCCTTGACCTCCTCTCTCCATACCGACCTCTCCTGCTCAGCGACGCCCGGGCCCTTATAGACACTTCCATACAACCCAGAAGCCCAGCTCGCACCATCCTTGGCCTTCTGGCTCTTGCTGTCCTTAAACTTGCGACGGTACCACTTCCCATATGCCAGCAGATAGTACAGCCTAAAGCACAAGAGCGCAAACTTGTCGTGCTCAAGGTCCTCGGGGTAATCCGCGCCCATATCGACGGCGGCAGCAATACCAGACATGATGGCAACCTCGTGCGCGTTGACCAGCGTCCACGAGCCCGCGAAACGAACGCGCTTCTTGGCTTGGAGGAACATCATCCACGGCACGACAAATGTGTAATGCTTCCATGTGTGGCACAGCTGATGCCACCAATCGGCGCGGATGATCTTGCTCTTGTCAATCTCGCTGTCAGTCCAGTGCTTGCGGTCGCGGTCCTTGTTCAGGTAGATCGTCTGGAAAACATGCTGCTCAAAGGGAACCTTGTCGGGGAATTGAGATTGATAGTTGGTTGTGTCGAAGCACATCTCCAGCTTGGAGAGGTCGTCGTCGTACATGCGGATGTAGTACATGGGCCTGAAGTTATCCTTGGCGAACGCGAGACGGGACGACTCATCCACTTCTCCCTTCTTGCCGAGTGTTTTGACGGCCTTTTTCTCGTCGTAAAAGTTCTCATAGTACTTCTTCATGTAGTCGGCGTCATTGTGAGTGATGGTGACATCGTCGGAGAAGGTAGCCGAACCGAGCACCTTGCGCTCGCGCCACGACGAGGTCTTGCCCAGAATCTTCTTAGCGGTGTCGGCAAGGACGCACATGACGATCTCGTCGTAGTGCTCCTCCGACTCGATCGCATCGGGGTCGCCGCCGACTGGGTTGTGGCCGTCTTCCACAGGAGTGCGGGGCTTAGTCTTGACGAGGACGCCACGTTTGTTGCGGTGGACGACCTCGGTGAGCTCGGTCGACAGGCGAACAGTTACACCGCGAGACTCGAGGTCATTCTTCCAAGTAGTGTAGAAATCGGTAAAGTTGGGGAAGACGACCATAGGCGGTTGGTTAGAGGCGACGCTGTTCGGGTCGGCAGGGTACCACATCCCATACGTTGGCGAAGTACAGAGGCGTTCCAGCATAATGGCTGGCACCTCTGGCGTCGCGTTACCAGTACCAAGGAAGAGAGCCGTCATGGGCAGTCCCACGACGTTTGTAAACTCGTCAGAGAAGCGGAACAGCTTGAACACAATCTTCAATGGCAGCAAAGCGAAGAAGACCTCGAACCACCGCATGATCTTAAGCATGGAAGCCAGTCTGCGAACTTCGGCCTGGTGCTTCTCGATGAACTCGGTGGGAAAGACATTGGTCCAGAACTTGTCGTCCTTGCCAAATGAAACTTGAAGCTTGACGGGATCCGCGTGGTAGCCCTGGCGGGCGAACATGGTCAGCGTGTGGTGGAAGATGTAGCTGCCGCCCTGCACGCCCTGGTTGAACCAGCTCGCGCCGTGTCGCTCCTTGTTGATGGGCATTGAAAAGGCCTGCCCTCCGCAGTAATCGACCGAATCGACGAGGGTCACATCGAACTTGTCAGCGTGGTTCGAGAGATGGTACGCCGTTGACATTCTACTACGTGTGAGTTTCTGCCCGAGACCAAGCTCGTCGGTATCATATTCGACTTACCCAGCAGCACCGGCGCCGACAACGAGAACCCTCTTCCGCCCATCCTTGCCTGTATTTCCGTTTTGCGACATGGTTTTGGAGCCGTTATGCTCAAGGTCACGATTGGGATCCTGAGATGCCATCAATGTCAAGGGATAGATTCGTTATCCATCACAACAGACCAGATGCTCCCTGCTGGCATGCGGACGCGTGCGGGTCAAATATGGGACGAGAAATGTGTAGCTTTGGCGTCTATGACGCTGTGACATTGAGTTTAATGAGGGAAACTAGCGATCGATCCGGGGGATCCCCCCCTAAAGATCGGAACTAGGGTGTCACGGTGCTTAATTTGTTAGCGGATGTGCTGGACGACGCCTGTCACACATGAGTTCACTCACATGTTCAACATGAGCGTGTCACTCTTTTCTTACCTTCATCACGATGATCGAGTAATTTTTATTCTAAATTTTTTTGTTCTTTTTCTTTGGAAAGTGAGGTTCCAGACCACTCATGGAAGGGTTGGGGCTTAAGATGAAGTGCTCTTCGTAGGACTAGCCGACCAGTATCACAGACTTGATGAACTTTCGTCTTGACTCATACGACGCAGAGATCACCCCACCTCAGATTCGGCATACACGCAAGTTGGCATGGTCTAAAGACAGTGAAGCTACCTACTGAGAGATATGTTTTCAATCCTGACCTCGGCTATCACTTTAATCTACTCCATCCTATACACGTATCACGAATCATAACTTATGTCACAGCCACTTCTCGTCGCTCACTCACTCACCACAATTTAATCAAAGCTTCGCAGCCTTCTGCAACTGCCTCACAAACCGCCCGTCATCCCTATCCCACCAAGGCCAAAATGGCACACTCACCCGATCAACAGACCCCGTAAACACCGGCTTCCTCCTCTCCAAGAAACTCTTCACCCCCTCAACATTATCCTCCGTCCCAGCAAGCTGCACAAACACCCTCGAATCCAACTCGTGCGCCCCCTCCGGCGAAGGCGGACAATATACCATCATATCCCTCATCAACTTGGTACTCACCAACGACGTATTCTCCGCCAGATCCTCCGCCACTTTCACCGCGTACTCTTCCGTCTCCCCGGGCGAGGGCAAGAATTTTGAAAAGAGACCGCTGACCAGCGGGTCCGTGACGGGGTACATATCCCCCGTCGCCACGACGTGGTTGGCGCGCGATAGCCCGATGAGACGCGGGAGGAAGAAGGCGCTGCAGGATTCGAGGACGAGGCCGCGCCGAGAAAAGGGGAAGCCGCATCGGGCACCTTCGTAAGCTACCCTGATGGTGGCCGGGAGAATCATTGTCAAGCCGACGCCTGCGGCCGGACCGTTGACGGCGGCGATGGTGGGTTTCTTGCAGTTTGAGATTGCCAGCGCGACGCGTCCGCCCCTGTGTGAAGAGTGAAGTATACGTCAGTCCAGATATCACGTCAAACCTCTAGCGGGGACCACCCTTCGTCGCGTGCTCGGAGTCAAGGTAACTCTTACCAGTCCCTGAAATCCCTCATCGATTCCTCCGTCTCCTTGAGGGAAACCATACCCATAAACCCGACATCTAGGTCTGCGCCTCCGGAAAACGCCTTGCCCGCCCCCGTTATGACGACCGCGCGAACCCTCGGGTCCTCGCTGACGCTGTTGAATATCACCTCGAGGCCAGTGAACATGTCTCCCTTCATAGCGTTATACTTCTTGGGTCGGTTGAGGGTGATCATTATGACCTTTGTGACGGACTACGAGCTCGCTGGGACGTGGGAGACGAGGAGGCCATCATAGTTGAACGAGGCGTATGATTCGGAGAGCTTGTTTGGAGCTGATGCCATTGTGATTTTGAATGTATCTAATGCGCTTGTGTCTTGCTGTGGAAGATGGAGTTGCCTCTACAACGCCACGTAAAACTGCTACTCCCATCAGTTTCCATCATCAAGGCATACTTATATCTCTTCCATCTACAATGTGCGGAGGGTACCTCAGCAGATTCACCAGCGCATATAAGTAATCACTAATGGATAAAACATCAACTTGGCCGAAGTGTCCTGCGACATGCCTGCCAACCCCGCGTTCAAGGTCTCGACTCCAACTTTGGCCCCCGGCACCTGGGCTCAGTAGTGACATCGACCGTTGTTGTGTACGACACTTCGGCCGGCACTTTGGTTTGCTGGTGGACCTAAAGGATGATGGATTCAGTTCCGATAGCGATGGCGACGGCCTGTCGATCGCGTCTACTGGAGTCTGGTGAGGTGTCATGAGTCTGCTTGACTCTCCAATTTTATAAGTTTAGGGATGTGAGGAGGGATTTAGTAGAGGCCCTGATTTGATGTACCTGGCCTCATGCGTTCCCCAGGTTGATGTTTCTTCGTCGTCTACAGATTCTCGGCCCAGCCGGGACGATGCAAATACTCACTATTGCCAAGTGAAGGACGACCGATGATCACTCAGGTATGTAGAGACCAAGATTGAGAATTACCAAAGCGAATTTGCACCATTAAAATGGATACCTCGTACCGTCTGTAGATTCTGCACTCTCATCGTTCTTCGAGCGCATCACTCATCAAGTGTTGCTTCTTTATGTGTGGCTGATAATCTGCGGAGCACCGCCTCAACTTAGGTCCAGGAAAGACGGAGCTCGTTTCTTGCGTATCTCATCTTTCCTGGACCTGAGAGAATCGAGACGGGTTCAGTGATGTGCATCATGGCGCATTTCTCTCTGTTTTCGCTATAGATCTGCTACACGTAACATGCGAATAAGCTTCTAAGAAACACTCGCGGCGTGTGAGTCGGCGCTTGGCGGGATCTGGCCTCCTGCCAAGTACTGCGCTCAGATATCGCGATTTAGCCTTGAGATCATGCCCAGCGACCAAGCCGGTTCAATACTTTGATCAAAGATCCTCAAACACAGGCCCCTTCTGCTCAGCAGACAACCTCTCAGCAATAGCATTCAACCACGCCCCCAGCCTCACACCCGCCTTCCCAATAACCTCATCAACGACCTCCCAGTTCTCGTCAAAGTACCCCTCGCTGAGGTCATTCGACTTCAACCAAGCCAGGCCCTTCTTCAGCACGTGCGAACAGACGTAGGCATTCGACTCCGTAGCCCATCCCAATGCACAAGATCCCGTCTTCAAATCGATGCACTGCCCGGCCGTCGCGTTAACGCCCGCCTGGTCTTGGCGTTGATAGAGGTCAGCAGCCCATGCGGCGGCGGCGATCTTCTCTTGCGGAATGCTCAAGTGCGGCGGCAGACCGCGGATGCGGTGCGGAATCTGTGTGTCCCAGACGGAGTGTAGGCTCATCGGGCCGTTGCAGACTCCGTGGTTGGGCTGACGGCGCCAGCAGACGGGCCGGATATCGTTGCCGCCGCGGAGGAGGCCCGTGGCGTGGAGGGGTTGATGAATATCGCCCAAGAAGTGTATTACAAACATCGTCGCGTTCTTCCGGTCAATGTGCGGGAGGCTCGTATCGAGGATTTGAGATGTCTGGTCCAAAGGGGTCAGTTATGACGATCGTCGTGCAGTAGGGGTGGTTCATTCATACATAGTTTGTGATGGCGGAGATGATGCAGCCGCTGGATGGGCAGTCTTGAGGGTACTTCATGCCGCATAGGTTAGGAGGGTCGTCTTTGGGGTCTAGCAATTCGTGAGCGCTTTGGTCCTCTGAGAGTGGCCATGCCATATAGCCAAGGGACGGTATCCGTACTGATGTAGTGATACTGGCTTGCCCAGCCCATGTGGCCTCTGAGCGTGTCGGCCCAAGTCGCGGCATCGGAGAAGTCGTAGTTGCGATCGTTGGCGAGCAGGTCACCGTATATGGCGGCAGCTTCATCAGTCAGGTATTTCTCGGCGAGGTATCCGACGGTACGGTGACCGACATTGCCCCAAGAAACAGCCGGTCTGACGGCCGCGGCCAGGAGAATGGTAGAGAGACGCATCTTCAGCTGCGTATTCGTTGTTCGTGTAAAAGCGATGGTGGTTCTGCAGCAACTTGTGAGGCAAACGCGGAGCTTGGAGCTCTTATCAGATAACGCGTCGCCCCTCCGGCGAGTGACCTGTGCGACATGCTAACCCGTTGCATCGCACTATTGGTCTGTCACCTCTGAAGTGGCTGGCTGCCGTCTGATGTGGCACGTCGAGACACGGCGGCAGCAGCTCTCGGAGACATTCTCAGTTGAACGGCCGTTTGGTGTTTGTGATTGGAGAAGGACACGACAGGGCCGAGACGCCTCGGTCCAGAAAGGGTACAGGAGCTCTCTGTTCACGACTCAGCTCTGGGGAGTTCTGGGGCGGGAGCTTGGATACTCGCGAGGAGTGGACAGCCAACAGCTTTGCCAACAGATTTACATGCCAGTTGTGCCAGCTTGATGCCAAAGACTAGTGACTGGTTGGACTGTACTTGAGCATCCGTTGAGTGTTGGATGGATATGACGTCTCGATCGGCGAGCTGAGGATATTTGGGAAACGATTGTCAGGGTGAATGAAGTACCAGTACCGGTACCGGCACACGGAGTGCCCACTGCCAGCTGTGTACCGAAGCAGCTGTCCCGGCCGAGCTCGGATCTCCACTAACGGGCCCGGGGGAGCATTTTGTCACAGTACACGACGTACTCTGTACCTATCCTGCTACATTACACCTCAGATGTTGGCAGGCGATGGTAGTGTAACGCAGCGATAGGTAGGTACCTACGTGGTGAAGCTTTCATTAAGCAAATGCTCAAGATGCCGACCAATGTCTCACAGCTTCGACCACAAGCCAATGAGAGTATCGAAAACGAGCATCTCGCCTGCCTCAGGGTGGTCGTTGAGATCCCCCGTGGGGAGGCACTGGTGGGCGATTTGCGCCATTAGCCGCTGGTGGACAGTGTCACTAGTGGAGAGCGAGACAAGCTCCTGGGCCCCAGGACTTCCCATTCTGGAGCGCTGACATTGCCGTGCCGGGCTTGGCTCAGCTTCAGCTGTTGGAGAGTGGCGCATTGAATGCCCTGCCAGGCGGCCAGTGCCTGCGTCCTGGCATGGCAGGGTTCCTCACATCAGCGTGGTGCCTGCAGCCTGGTACCGCAGGCCGATGGTGTGCTGTGTCTCAAGTTGCGAGGGACAAGTTCGTAGTGGTATTGCGAGGGCCATTCTGTTGCATATCTTCTCCATTCAGGATGCAGATAGCATCGCGAGATGATGCATAGTGGACGAGCGAGTCAAGCTGATGGATGTTAATCTCGTAGCATACCGTCGGACTGGCACGATAAGGGGGAAAAGATAAGATAACAGAACGCAAAGCAACCGATAAGGCTAGAGCTGCTACCTTAAGGTAGGTAAGGTACCAAGGTACCTAGGGAAGTCGCGGCAACAGATCGGGTTGCCGCAATTTGCGCCTGCCAATAGCGTCCCAAAGCCTGTAATTTGGATGCAAGGACCCCTAGACTCACTTATCGTAGGAGATGTTTCCCACTGTTGGTTCCCCGCCGTTGGCGATAAGCAGCCGAAGAAAGCTGACGTTATCATTGATGCCATCGTGGCTTGTGCACCCGCTCTGCCACCTGCCTTGATGAACAGCACGCGACACAAGACAAAGGGAGACACATCTTGCAAGCCACCAACACACTGTCAAGTCTAGGCCGCTGCAACTAATTTGACTGCCCGGTCGACACTTGACTCGTGCATCAGCCACCATGTCTGAGGAACCGTTCAGACCAGCGCTGATCGTCGTTGACTTTCAAGAGGACTTTTGCCCACCTGTAAGTAGATGAACGTCATATTCCCCCGTTCGTCACATCTTGGCCCGACATGACTTGGCGATCTGAAGTTTCCAAGTTCCAAGTAAGCGGTAGTGGTTGGTATGGATAAGTGAGACTGACACCGGCTCAAGAATGGTTCACTCGCCGTAGCCAACGGCCGCGATATTCATCCCGTTGTCAACGCGCTACTGCGCCTACCATTCACCATCAAGATTGCAACCAAGGACTGGCATCCTCAAGATCATATCTCGTTCGCATCAAACCACGAGGGCAAGCAACCATTTGTCGATGCCATCGACATCGTCAACCCGCGAAACAGCGCCGAGACATTCCACACCCGGCTATGGCCAGTGCACTGTGTGCAGGGTACGCCCGGCGCTGCCCTGGTGCCGGAGCTAGATGCCCTGGCCGTAGACACCATCATCGAAAAGGGCCAGAATAAGGACGTTGAGATGTACAGCGTCTTTTACGACCCTTTCCAGTCGCCCAGAGTGTCCGACAGCGGGCTTGCGGCCTCTCTCGAGGACAAGGGCGTCACGGACGTCTATGTGGTCGGTCTGGCTGGCGATTACTGCGTCAAGTGCACCGCGCTGGATGCCCAGAAGGAGGGGTTCCGGACCTTCATTGTGGAAGAGGGCACCAGGCCTGTGGATGCTGAGAAATGGGACGAGTGCAAGGGCGCCCTGGAGGCTAGCGGAGTGAAGATTATCAGCATGGAGGGCCCGGAGGTCCGTAGGGTTGGGAGCGGCTGGACGGGGATGAGGGGCCGACCAACGTTGTTCTCCAAAGCCGTCTGATATCTTTGACACTGGAAACCCCCGAGCAGAGGCCAACGATGCTTCCGTGTTTCCTCCAATATAGGCTATGCGATGAGTTCGGGATATCTGGTGTTTCAAATTCTGACGTCTTTTGGGGAACCGCCGAGTTGGGTTTACCAGCATCAAGCTAATGGCGTGTACCTCAGGGCACATGCATTGATAGAGCCCTTCCCCGACGACATATGTGCTGTATTCGTGTATGTACGGATAGCTCGAGACAGCGTGACAGGGTATGTAGCTTGGTATACGATGGAGCAGCCGTGTATCCGTACCCTGTGCTATCTTCTTTGTCGTCATGTTTGAGATTGAGGTTTCTGTATGCCCCAGTAACTTGCCTTTACTATTTAGTAAAGCAAGTCAGCTATTGTAGCTCGTCAACGGCCGCTAACCAAGTAGCTTGCCCATTCTTCAGACTTTGTTCGTAGCAGCGAGCGAGTAGAGCAGACTGGCAGTATCCATAGTGTAGGTATTCGTGAACTAAGGTAGATACTCTCAGTCTCAAGCGACAAGGCCTCGCTGTGCTGTTGACGTGGTCAGCGATGCTTGGGCAATGGCGGGTCGCGAGGGATCCGTGGCCCCGCGACAAAGCAGCAGGGCCCAGGGGGAAGGGCAGAACTCGGGACCTTCAGCTGGTCCATGCAGGCGCAGACTCTCGGAGAAGCAGTGATGTGACCACTGGCCCAGTGACAAGGCTTGAGGTGCCAGGTCAGAAACAAAGACGGGGAATAAGGCAAGAAAAATACAGGGAGATCGCCAGGGGTCCGCTGCACAGATCTGACGTTGATGGACGTTGGCGACGAACCTTTGACCGTGACTGGAGCTTCACCGCCGGGCTGTACCCGCTGATGCCCACCAAGATCCGGAAACGTCAAGATAATATGAGAAAGGACTGGGAGGAGGGGGGATTCAAGTCGAGTGGGCAGGGGGCATTCCATCATATCAGATCAGGCCCGCAGGAGGGGATAATCCGAGAGAGGCTAGAGACTTTGCAAAAGAGGGCTGGAAGAGGGCAGAGAAATGTCTCTTGTCTTCTCTCTCCCGTCTGTTGGAACCTGGATAATGTCCATGTCGAGGGGCATCTGTTCATCTGGGGGAGGCTGGCAGGGGCCGGGAATAGTTGTCGACATGGGGTTCTGCGAATTGCGAGATTGAGGTAGGAATTTGAATGGAGTTTTCGCATGTAGTGAGATGTCGCAGGTGAGGCTCATGCGGCACAGCGGTAACTGGTGCCGTAAGAATAGGTGAAGTTGATGCATGAACGGAATTGTTTTGTAACCCGACGGATTTGGGAAAATTCGAGCAAGGAAGTCGAGAAAAATGGCGTCTCAAATGCAAGAGCGAAATGCAGTGCCAACGAAAAGCAACAGGAAGGAGCGTGGAAGCCATCGTTGCACTGCTGCAGGAGCGGGAGACCCACTGCAATTCCAGGAAAGCCTCCTTTCCCAGTTAGGACATATTCTAGGTGTCAATTGCCATTCGACTTGGACTGGAAGGAACGAATCTTTTTCATTGAGGTGTACTTGTATTGAGGAAGGCACGGATTCTAGTGTGCAAGTACGAAGTACTTCGTACCTCACGAAGCAGAAGAAGGAAACCACACCCAGTGACACACAAGTGACAACTTAGCTGAGAATATTCATCTGAGCTCAGGTTTCAACCTGTTCAGTTCCACGTTCCTCTCGCCTTAACACATTTCCATTTCAATCACAAAAGGCTGCCTTCCAGAAGCGAGTTAGCCACGCAGAAGGAGGCACGACGCATGGCGCACAGGCACTGCAACCCGCCTCGACACCGAACCACGCCTTACCGCCGTCCCAGCTGCGTCTGTGGTATCCCGAGTATTGTACCTCTGAAAGGTAGGTAGGTACCTTGCTTCATCCGTCTCTTTGGGACACAGCAGCTGAAGAATCGTCGCAGCAGGTCCCGTGTTTGTCGAATATGACGCGGCGGCCAGGCGGCAGTGCACTTGGATGTTTGAGGGTCTTACTCTTTCACGCAAGGCTTCAGTTTAACCAAGGCCAGGTCAGACTTCCATTGGAATAAGCGTGGCTTATCTCGAGATGACTTATCTGCTTATCCGAAGAGTGCTGCTGCTGCTGCTGCTGCATGTCTCAATCGGGCTTGATAAGATACGCGACTATCAGCAAACATGCATCAGAGCAGCAAACAACAAACACACCTTCAAGTCGAGCAAACTGCGTTTGAGGCTGATTTAGATAGGTCTCAGCTGTTGATCTGTTCTTCAGAGAGCAGCAATCTTTCCACTCGTGCTTCTCCGATGACATTTTGGTCTTCTCTGGCCAAAAATCGCAGAAACTAACAACAGAGCCACATTATGGTACATTATAGCGAAGAGCAACGAGTGGATGAGATGTGACGCGCCATCCGTGCGGGTGCGTCGTCTGCAGCTAGGCAGTGCTGTGGCTCCTATGACACATTCGCTACCACCTTAGGTACTTCCAAGTTCTAGGACTAGACCTTGAAGTTAGACCAACTTGTTAGTGACGATGGAAGCCAGTAGTGCCCGCCTGGCCTTTCCCAACACTGCGCAGGGTGCTCTAGCGAATGGCGACAGGCTGTCTGCTGTCACGGGTGGGAGGTGCCAGATGCGACAGGCGGTCGCACCAATCCGCCACGCCCAACGTCTGCCCGGCCGAGAAGACGGAACTTCGACACTTGCACACTTAGGCGAAGCTCTCGAACATGAACGAGTCGCTGTCGAGCACTAACAAGAGCACCGAAGCGCACCCTGTGTGCATCTTCTTCGGCGTGATAATACGACGGGGTGCTCTGCCGTTTTGGGATTAGTCTGCGAGTGTACCTCTCGGAGTACCGCGGTACATCGGCGCGGACCATTATCGGTAAATTTGCCTTTTGGTGGGGCGGCCACCACCCTTGTCCAATTCATCACCTTTTTTTTTTTTTTTTTTTTTTTTTTTTTTTTGGGCCGCTGCGTCGTTCCTCTTCGGCCCAAGACGTCCATCCATGCTGGCGCGCCGCTCATCATCATTGCCCACCGAAAAAAAAAGAGACTTGCAAAGTTGCGCCAACATGTTGCTGGGATTACTTTCCGTCCCAAGGTGGATCCTCGTGATACTTCCGCATCTGCCCTGCCACCCCGCAAAACAGCAGGTACCTTTGGCAGCTTTCCAGTCTCCGTTCTCTGTGCCATTGACAAGCATCCGGATGTCTGGCAACTCTCTTTTTGTTTTTTGATCTTATTTTCTGTTTTTCTGTTCCCTGCACACCTCCTTGCCCACCACTACCAGTTCCCTACCAGTGCCTGTTGGGTACCTAAGTTAAGGTAATTAGGAGGAACACGAACCATTGCTTAAGCTCGCTGCTATCCTCTCGTGTCTCTCCCTCCCCTATCTTATCCTTCACACCTCTCTCGCCTTGTTGCTCCTTTAACCACAAGGTCTTATCCTGTCTCTACTCTATCTACTCTCTTGATCCTCGTCCCCCGCTACACCACTTGTGTACAGTACCTTGGTAGAGAGACTGATAGTAGTCTCTATATCTTTTAAAAGGTACTGGGCTGCCCGTTGCATCGCGACTCTTGGTTCTTGCTCCTCTTCCCTCTGAGCGATCTTCTTCTTCCGCCCCCCCTCCCCCTCCACCCCTTTTGCAAGGCATCCTCTTCAACAGGAACTGAGCAATCCACTCCCGCCTCCGATTCGAGCACTTCAACAGCTCCTTGCGACTTCGGCTCTCCGCGACCACCACCCTCGATCTCCGACACCTTTCGCAACCACCTATTGATTTTATTCCCTCGGTGCCTCCTCGCGAGAAAACTTCTCCTCCCCTTCGTTGTGTTCGAGCTTTTGAGGCACTTTGCTGCAATTCTAAATTCCAACGACGTCAACGGCGTTGGCTCAACAGGTACGTCAAACTCACCCCTCCAATCGGCATTGCAGCGCAGCGCAGCGCAGCGCAGCGCATCCCACACAAACCATCTCATCTCCGTCGCCAAAATTCCTCAACCCAAATTCCACCCAGCCCATCTCTCTCTCCCACCAAAGAGACCAACCACCCCTCCGCGTCTTTTCGCACACTCATCCACCGCGGCAACACTACCGCCTCTTGTTTTGCCTACCAAAGTGCTTCAATCGCTAATCTCAAGAAACAGACATCGCCTTCGTCCCCTTCTCTTCGGTCGTCGTACACCAATGCCTTCCTTCTAATAGACGATCTTGATTCACCGCAACTTTCGCCATGATATCCTCAACACTTCTCCCCCGCCGCTTTCGGGGTGAGCAGCCTGCCGCTCAGGCCGCTGCTCCCTCCTGGGTCAACAAGAAGATCACACCAGCTCTAAAGTTCCTCTCCAAGCTCGCCTGCTCGCACCCCATCCACACTGTTGTCATTGTTGCTGTTCTGGCCAGCACTTCGTACGTGGGATTGCTGCAAGAGAGCTTGTTCGATGCCACCATCAGCGTCCGCACTGCCGACTGGTCATCCCTCGTCGAGGGCAGCCGACGCCTGCAAGCCGGCCCCGAAACTGCCTGGAAATGGCAGAACGTCGAGCCCGAGGCCTCCATCGCCGGTGAAGTCGACCACCAGGCCCTCCTGACCCTCGTTTTCCCCGAATCTCAGTCTCCCGAGTCGATCAACACCGCCCCGCGCACCCACACCGTTCCGATTCCCCAGAACCTCTCCATCACCTCGCTTCCCTCGACCTCCAACTCCCTGACCACCTACTCCCAGGACAGCGCCCTCGCCTTCGCCGTGCCCTACTCCCAGGCCGCCGAGTTCCTGTCAGTAGCTCAGGAGATCCCCGATGCCACCAGCGACGAGACGGAGACGATGCATGGCAAGGAGAAGAAGATGTGGATTATGAAGGCTGCCAAGGTCCACACCCGTAACAGTCTGGTCCAGTGGGCTCGCAACGGCTGGACAGAGTTCCTCGACCTGCTCAAGAACGCCGAGGCTCTCGACATCTTCATCATGGTCCTCGGATACCTGTCCATGCACCTGACCTTTGTCTCGCTTTTCCTCTCCATGCGCCGCATGGGCTCCAACTTCTGGCTCTTCACCAACGTCCTCTTCTCCTCCGTCTTCGCCTTCCTGTTTGGTCTGCTTGTCACCACCAAGCTCGGTGTCCCAATCACAATGGTGCTCCTGTCCGAGGGCCTGCCGTTCCTGGTTGTAACCATTGGTTTCGAGAAGAACATCATTCTGACCCGCGCCGTGCTGTCGCACGCCGTTGAGCACCGCCGGCCGCAGGAGAACATGGATGACAGAAAGTCCAGCAAGAAGTCCGACGTGTCGTCCCCCAACGTCATCCAGTACGCTGTGCAGGCAGCCATCAAGGAGAAGGGCTACGACATTGTCAAGGATTACGCCATTGAGATCGGCATTCTCGTTCTCGGTGCTGCCTCCGGTGTCCAGGGTGGTCTGCAGCAGTTCTGCTTCCTTGCCGCCTGGATTCTCTTCTTCGACTGCATTCTTCTCTTCTCCTTCTATACCGCCATCCTGAGCATCAAGCTCGAGATCAACCGCATCAAGCGCCATGTCCAGATGCGCCGCGCACTTGAAGACGACGGCGTCAGCCACCGCGTGGCCGAGACCGTGGCCAAGAGCAACGATTGGCCCGAGTTCGGCGGCAAGGCCCCCAAGGAGACTTCTTTGTTCGGCAAGCAGATGAAGAGCAGCAACGTTCCCAAATTTAAGGTCCTTATGGTCAGCGGTTTCGTCCTGATCAACGCCATCAACATTTGCACTATCCCCTTCCGCAACTCTAGCTCACTGCCCAGCTTGGCTTCCCTGACTGGCGGTCTCAGCGCCGTTGTCACTGCTCCTCCCGTTGACCCCTTCAAGGTTGCCTCGAACGGCCTTGACGCCATTTTGGAATCCGCCAAGGCCAACGAGCGCCGCACCGTTGTCACCGTCCTTACACCCATCAAGTACGAGCTCGAGTACCCCTCTATCCACTACGCGCTTCCCTCTCCTGCGAGCAAGTCTGGCCAAAAGCACCAGGATGAGTATGATACGTTTGAGAGCTACGGCATGGGTGGTCGCATGGTTGGCAGCATTCTGAAGAGCCTCGAGGACCCCGTTCTCTCCAAGTGGATCATTGTCGCCCTCGCCATGAGTGTCGCCCTGAACGGCTATCTGTTCAACGCTGCTCGCTGGGGTATCAAGGACCCCAACGTTCCCGACCACCAGATCGACCCCAAGGAGCTTGCTCGCGCCGAGAAGTTTAACGATACCGATTCGGCTACCCTGCCCCTTGGCGAGTACATTCCTGAGACGCCCAGGCCTGCCACACCCGCCTTGACCGACGACGAGTCTGGCGAAGCTGCTGCTCCCGTCGAGCAGCGCACCATTGCCCAGCTTGAGAAGATGATTGCCGAGAAGCGTGTACACGAGATGACTGATCACGAGATTGTCGGCATGTCTCTTCGTGGCAAGATCCCCGGTTACTCTCTCGAGCGCACCCTGAAGGACTTTACTCGTGCTGTCAAGATTCGCCGTTCCATCATCTCCCGCACCAAAGCTACTTCTGACTTGACTAACAGTCTCGAGCGGTCCAAGCTTCCCTACCACCACTACAACTGGGAGCGTGTCTTTGGCGCGTGCTGCGAGAATGTCGTCGGTTACCTTCCCCTGCCTGTCGGTGTTGCTGGTCCTCTTGTTATCGACGGACAGAGCTACTTCATCCCCATGGCTACCACCGAGGGTGTCCTGGTCGCCTCTGCCAGTCGGGGCTGCAAAGCCATCAACTCTGGTGGCGGTGCCGTCACCGTACTCACTGGCGATGGCATGACCCGTGGACCTTGCGTTGGATTCGAGACCCTGGAACGTGCTGGTGCTGCCAAGATCTGGCTCGATTCCGAGGCTGGTCAGACTACCATGAAGAAGGCTTTCAACTCTACCAGTAACTTTGCCCGTCTTCAGACCATGAAGACTGCGCTGGCCGGTACCAACCTCTACATCCGCTTCAAGACGACCACTGGTGACGCCATGGGTATGAACATGATTTCCAAGGGTGTCGAGCACGCCCTTTCCGTCATGGCATCTGAGGGCTTTGAGGACATGAGCATCGTTTCGGTCTCTGGTAACTACTGCACGGACAAGAAGGCAGCCGCCATCAACTGGATTGACGGACGTGGAAAGAGTGTCGTCGCCGAGGCTATCATCCCCGCTGACGTTGTCAAGAACGTCCTCAAGAGTGACGTTGACACCCTCGTCCAGCTCAACGTTGACAAGAACCTGATTGGCTCTGCTATGGCTGGTTCAATCGGAGGTTTCAACGCCCACGCCGCCAACATCGTCGCTGCTATCTTCCTCGCCACCGGACAAGACCCTGCGCAAGTTGTCGAGAGTGCTAACTGTATCACCATCATGAAGAAGTAAGTGCTGGTCCTGTACCGTGGTTATGTGTCGCCGCTAACAATCCGTAGCCTTCGTGGTTCTCTCCAAATCTCCGTCTCCATGCCCTCGCTTGAAGTCGGGACCCTCGGTGGCGGAACCATTCTTGAGCCTCAGAGCGCCATGCTCGACATGCTCGGTGTTCGCGGCCCCCACCCCACGACCCCGGGCGAGAACGCCCGCCGTCTGGCCCGTATTATTGCTGCTGGTGTCCTGGCCGGTGAACTGTCACTGTGCAGTGCTTTGGCTGCCGGTCACCTGGTTAGTGCGCACATGCAACACAACCGTTCTGCACCCCCTACGCGGACCAACACGCCGGCCCCGGCCAGCGGAACCATGACACCCGTTGGTCTGGCCATGACCAGTGCCGTCGAAAAGGCTGCCAGCAAGAGCGCGGCGGCTGTCGATCGGGCGCGTCGTTGAGTTTGCTAGGTTGCTGTATATACGCGAAAGAAAAAGGCATGAGACATAATTATGGAGTTTTGGGGATAGAGCAAACATTACATGGCGATTGATGCACCATTTTCGCATACGCTGCATTGCACTTACGGTAGCAAGGGGAAGAAATCATGCACCTCGCAAGACGGTGCGCTGGCCACGCCAGCTTGTATGTAGAATCAGATACATAAGAGCTTCTTTGTCCTAAATGGGTCTGATGGATGTTGCCCGTGAAATCATTTGCCTCAAACAGTGCAATTATCTTCAACCTTTCCCTCAGTAGGAGCCCCCAGGTCTGAGGGAGGGAATCTCACGAGGGTCATGGTGGTGTTGGCGCTGCTGACATAATCGATTTGTGGATTATCTTTGCGCCACGGATGCTGGTGCCTTGAAGTGTGGCTGGTGTTGTGGGCCACTCTTATCGTCCCCACCCAAGACATCGATGCTCCAGAGCCTCAATGCTCTCGATGACAACTCTGCAAGTACAACAAATCACATCCAGTCTGGCAAGCCAAATACATTAGAATCGGTTAGAATTATCCAATCAAGTATTTCTCCATGCCATGGGGCTAAACGGAGGCATGCCGCCTACTCATCTGCTACTCGCCTGCGGCAGTTCGAGCAACCAGCTCTGGCAAAGTTATTGGGCCGTCTTCAAACAATGCCACGCATGATGATGCAGGAAGAGAGGTCTCAAGGGTCAAAAGGTACCATGAAAAGATCTTTTGAGACTGCCGGGTCACTAGTCTGGGTCGTCTGGGGCGCGGCTCAAAGGATTTCAGGCTACGCAGGCAGCAGACCCCCTGCCGTGAACCCTGCCGCATAACACAAGCCTAGACCCTCGCAGGTTTCCGCCTCTTCCTTCATTTTACTGAATCCTATCAAGGTTTCTTTAGGTGTCTTGACTCACATATGATCTCGGTCCCGTCAATCTGATGCCACTCCGGGAGCCGATGACTCTTGACGGCCGTCCGAGCGGGGTACGGCTGCCTACCTCCATCCTGCCGGCTCCCGAGATTCTAGGCAGGCTGTGATAGCCTGGATGTTTTACAAGCGCCTTGAAGTCGTGGGCTTGCATTATAAAGAGCCTCGAGATCAACTAGAGATATCTGGCTTCATCAGAACAAACCATCTCCCCATCTCGACAGATCCCACTTGTTGAACGACCCAAAGACCTTGTCATCAAGGCCTCCCTAATCCACAATGGCACGCACCAGACAAACAGCCCCTGGCCCAGGCCACTATTCAAATGATACGCTTGATGAAGAGGATCAGGAGGAGATAAACGGTGTTCTCACTGAGGAAGACAAGAAACGTCGCGAGGAGCTCGAAAAGGCACCCATGCAGATCGAAGTCAAACACCTCGAGAAGCGGTGGACAAAGAAGGGACACCCATACATCACCGAGCCAAAGGAAGATGAAGATATCCCCGAGGATAAGATCAACTGGTACGAAAAGTATGCCCTCTGCGTAAGTACTCCTGCCTACGAGTAGCCCGTGTTCTCCTCTTACACAGGCGCCCTTCAGATCACGCGCCAGTATGATGGCCAGAACAAGTACATTTGCCGTATCTCACTCGAAGTCAACTCTCCCGGACTCAAGAACATCTTGGGAGACGTCATTGGCAGCAAGTATCCTGGCCAGTCCTACCTAACTTCTAACGTCACGGTCGACTTCCCTCCCCGCAGTCTGTACCACTACCGCAAGGAGCTGGCCGAGACTGCTGTCAACCATGAGCCCGGTTCCGATGAAGCCAGGCACCTCCCTCTATTGCTCAACTTCATTGACGAGGAATTCCATGACGCCATCACCGGCGGTGCAAACCTTATCGAGCAGGGCTTAATGAGCTACGAGCACCTCTGGACCATCTTCCGCCCAGGGTGCCTCGTCTACGCTACCCGCATGAGTCAGGCTCGCGTGTACAAGCTCAATAGCTACCAGTATACCTGCGGCCAATCCCCTGGTCTCCAGCTCAGCGTCGAGTTTGTCGACTTTGACGGCGACGAGTTTGGCACGAGATACGAATCCCTCTTGCTTCCCGCTTTCGCTGGAGCCTCGCCAATCGCCTCTCTCAACGCCCTCCCTCTGGCGCACCACCCCGACCCCGACGCCGTCACGCGCCTCCTGACTGAACGCGGTCGGCGATGGGAGGCTCTCGCCGGTCAGAACTTCCGTCAGTACAAGGGTGTTGCGCTGGACCATTGTAACCGCCGCTTCCACATTGACGGCCGAGTCATGGTCGACGCGGAGACTCACCACCGCATCATGGCCGACTATGCCTTCAACGTCAGATCGTTCCCCACGACGGTAGGCCGGAAGCGGAAGCAGAATGACGAGAGCGATGATATCGAACTCGTTCCAAAGGAGACTGCCGAGTTTGTGCCCCTGAGCGACGAGCAGTGCCTTTTGGCTAGCCCTATGGTCCGCGGCTTCAGCTTCACCGAGAAGAAGTTCCTCGACTTCTTCGTCGACAAGATCAGCCCTATTGAGTGGAACACCCAATGCTTCGGGCAGCTGGTCCTCCCAGACTCCCAAAAGGAGCTGGTGCAGGCTCTCGTCGCGGAGCATACCGCCCGCGCCACCGATCCGAACTCGTCTGCATTTGATGATATCGTCAAAGGTAAGGGCAAGGGCCTTATCCTCGTCCTGCACGGCCCTCCCGGTGTAGGAAAGACCTTGACGGCAGAGTGCGTGGCCGAGTTCAGCCGTCGGCCGCTGTACATCGTCTCCTCCGGCGATCTCGGCACCTCGTCATCGGTCCTGGATGAGAAGCTGACCAAGACGCTCGATCTGGCGAGTACCTGGAAAGCGGTGCTCCTCATCGACGAGGCCGACGTCTTCCTTGAGCGCCGGTCGCTGCACGACATGGAGCGCAACAGCCTCGTGTCCATCTTCCTACGCACACTCGAGTACTATAGCGGCATTCTGTTCATGACGACGAACCGCGTACGCACCTTTGACGACGCCTTCAAGAGTCGAATCCACGTGCCGCTCAAGTACGACGATCTGCCGCGCGAGAGCAGATTGAAGGTGTGGAAGAACTTCCTAAACAACGTCGAGGGCGGCGTCGATATTGACGAGGACGGGTATGAGAAGCTCGCTGAGGGCAAGTTGAACGGGCGACAGATCAAGAACGTGGTCCGCACGGCCAAGAGTCTTGCCTCTTACAAGAAGCGGAGACTGGACTGCTCACAGCTGCAGCAGGTTGTGGATATCCAGATGACGTTTGAGAGAGAACTGGACAGTGTCGATGGTGACATTGATGTGGTTGTACGATAGAGAGAGGACTCGGACTTGGGGCAAACGAGGAGCGGGAGCCAACGGGAGCCAACGGGATCGGCACGTTGGGGGAGGGCATGGTGGTGACCTGTGCTCATGAATTTTCTGGGGGATAACAAGATTAAATTCACTTTCTGTCAGCTCTGCATCTTCGACCCCACAGCCATTGGAACGTAGCTGCGAGATTGTTGTTTGTTGCCAGTCAAGGTCCAACGGTTCGTGCGGAGCCCCCGGGATAGACGAGGTGATGAGACTCGAGAGGCAAACATCGCAAGTCAAAGGCAACGGCGGCGACCAACGAGAGTGGTGACCCCACAGCAAGATGAATGGACAAGCGCAAATTAACAAACATGAAGGAGAACTGCGACAAACATACCCCATTCTGCATTGAATTTGGCGGAGCCGGCCTTTTCGGAAAGACCATCTCGGCAGACAAACGCAATGCCGGGCACCTAGTAAGTTTCAATCTTGTTGGTCGTGTCTAATTCTGGGTTCAAGGCCGCCATGTCGCAGTTGAGGCTTCGAACGGCGAAAGTCATGACGACGAAGGTCAACAAGCCCGACGATATTTCTCCGCTCTGTGCTACATTATGGCATGTTATTCGATCCCAAAGTAACACAATGCCCCCGAGGACTCGTACGGGGTTGCTGACGTGCCTATCAGTCTGGGCAAGTTGGACAGTTGCCCAGAATCGCTTGCAGTCTTCCGTCCTCAATTCCTCCTTCCCATTTCTACAGATTCCAGCCCTAGATTCTTGAGCAAGAGACACTTAAGCAAGTATGCCCAATGACTCGGCAAACATCGACGATGCTGAGAGCTGAGAGCAGCTCAGCTTAGCCCAGACAGCATCTCGACCGGAAGAGCCCTAGTCCTGGTCCTGGCCGCGGCTCGCACGCTTGTGGCGCCCCCCTCACGAGGACTCGAGGACCGGCAAACCCGCCAGAGCCAATCGTACGAGACGCACGACCCTCTAGCGTGTATGGTACCGTGCCGCCGGGTCGACGCCAAGGGGACGCCGCATGTCTCGTTGGTCTGGGGAGATTGGGGCCTCCTTTCTTAGGGTTGGGTGAAGTTTGGGTGAAAGCTGGGTGTCTTGGCCCTAGGGGACCCGGTTTGGCTTGAGACGGGGTGGCTGAAAAAGCATTGAAGCCATTCTAGACTGCAAACAGACTAAGCGAATTGCAAGGGTGAAACTGGTGAGTCGTTGACGCGATTGGTTCGGAGACGAGCTCTTCGTGGCATTGCGGTCAGTCTAGACTCCTTACTTACTTTAGAGGTGAACAACTCATGAGCGGTAGATGCTTGGAGCTTTCTTGACACCTCCCTTCGCTTTGGGTAGAGGCGGTAGTGACACTCGTGGAGGAGCCCTGGCCCCTGATCTTGAAAGGTCACTGAAAGAATGCCCTTGTCTGTCCCCCCGCTCATATGCCGATTCTGTCTTGTCGGGGACTCGAGTTGGTCCAACCAATTCCCGAAACTGCGGTAAGCAAACGGATGCTGTCTTATTAGGCTGGATCGAGACATGGTAGTCTGAACAGAACACCCTCAAATGCCTTTGTTGGACGGCGCGGACACGGACTGGGCAGGCTACCTCCAACTGCGTACGCATCCCGCACTAATTAGTCCCCCGGCAAAGCACACCCTTTCACACCCTCCTTGGCGCAAACGTGGGCAATGTTGATATATCAGGGCCACAATCCTTCGTGTTGACATCTGCTGTGGTTCTACATATCAACGTCCGGGCCAAAAAGCATTTTGACAGCTGCGCGGGAAGAAGAAAGAGAGAGAAGTGTCTTTGCATGGCTGCCCGCAATGATTTCGGGGCAAGGAGGAGTACGCCACATGCAGCCCTCGACATGTCGTTTACTCATTCGACAGCTGCGCCTTCTATTGCGTCCACATCCACATCTACAATGCGGGACTATCCAAAGATAAATGTTGAGCTTTCGGTTATTCCTTACTCTGGGGGTGAGGGTACGTGGACACCTGAGGAGCACGTTCATCCGAGGCAATGGAGTCAGGCGCGGAAGGCGTATGATACGTGCTTGATTGTCTTTCTTGAGTTTTTCACGTATGTCAACCTCTTCGTTTCGTTGTCTGGGTGCCAGAACTGACTTTGCATAGAACCATGATCAGCACCGCAGGAGTATGTCCTTCTCGCCGGCGTTCCCATGGTCAACATACTGACACCCTCCGCAGTCCCCAGTTGCTGGACACATTTACGGGGATCTTGGAATAAGCCCAGTTGCAGCGACTTGCGTTTTTGTTTCAACGTAAGTGAGATGGTACCAAGTGCCTGTTTGTAAGTTTTCAGATCCCTAACAACGTCGTCTAGATATCTCATCGGCCAAACCATCGGAGGCGTCTTCTTCCCACCCTGGTCAGAGTCCTTTGGCCGCAAGAGACTCTACGTAGTCGGCACCGGCCTGTACAGCTTGTCATGTATTCTCGTAGGCAGAGTGCCAACTATTCCCGGCATCGTTGTCGGGCGTTTCATCGGCGGACTGTTATCGTCTGTCCCTACGAGTGTTGCCATGGGCAGCATCGAAGATCTATGGGACACGAATGCGCGGGTATGGTGGCTATACTGGTGGTCATTGGTAGCGAACCTCGGCATATTGACGGGTCCGGTCTTTAGTGATCTGGTGATGAGGAGTACTCACTGGTAAGAGCTTGTCGTCTGGTTCAGCTTCACTTGCCCATAACTGACCATGAACTCCTTAGGACGTGGGTGTTCTACACAGCGGCCATAGTCACCGCATGCGTCACAATGCTTCTGCTCACGATTAAGGAGTCCCGTCCCTCCGTCGTACTTGCAAGGGCCCAGGCACTCTCCGAAGTCCAAGGCCTGAGCAGCAACAACATCTCGCCGGGCAAGGTGTTCCCTTCAACTCACGAGAAGCTCGACCTCCTCCGCCCCTTACGACTCTTCTTCACCGAGACAATCGTCTTCCTCGCCGCTGTTATAAGCGCCATTGCATTTGGACTCGTCTACCTTTTCACGGAAGTCTTACCTCTGGTCTACGTAGACATGGGCTTCACCGATGCCTCGATGAACCTACCCTTCCTCCCCCTTGCAATTGGCATGGTCTTTAGCGCCCTTACACGTCTCTACGATCGCCGCGTCCTTGCCGAAAGGATGTCGAGGTCGCTACCACTCACACCGGAGTCCAAGTTCGCAGGCTTCATCATCGGTGCGCCCCTGTTGGCCATCGGTCTTTGGTGGTTTACGTGGACCATCCCGCCGTACACGACGTCGGCACACTGGGCTATCCCGACAATAGCACTCGTACCAATAGGCTACGCGGTCAATGAGTTCGACTACGTGCTGGCTGGGTATCTCACCGACTGCTATCAGACATACTCGGCCAGCGGGTTCGCGGCTATGTCGTTGACGCGGTCGCTCTTCTGCGCCACGTTCCCCCTTTTTGGCAGGGCATTGTTTGACTCGCTCGATTTCAACATGGCGTCTTCGGTGTTTGCTACACTAGCAACGGTTCTGTGCGTTGTGCCTCCGCTATTGTTGAGGTATGGGAGCACGCTTAGAGCCAAAAGTGCATTCGCGAGCAAGGACTCGAGAGACCTGGCGAGCCTGTGAGGGACCAGCAACCCCTATTCATGTACATATTCATACAAAACTTACTTACGACTTCTTCTAAGATACAAGTATCCAGTAAAAAGTTCAGCACGGCGTTCTTGATTGCTGCGTTCACTGGGGGATAGCCAAGCTTAAAAGACACAATTACCATTACAACTAACTAGAGCTATCGTGGAAATCGGACACAATCCAAACCCTCCTGGGAGGTCGAGGGATACGAACGTCGTAGGCCGGTGAACTTATAGGAAGCCTTCATCGACTTATCAATGCCCATTGGTAGCTCCGTTGGTGTTACCAGAAGTCAGGCCCTTTGTGGAATAACCCAGGGGCATGCCAACCAGGTATTTCTGCTTGCTTGTTGGGGTGTTATCAGCAGTGGCGCCTTGAGCACCGAGAATATGGACCTCGGCATCCTTCTGGAATACAAGGATAATATCGGAACCTCCAAACTCAAAGTGGGATATCTTGTCGCCCTCGTTGATGTTCACATTCGGCTGAATCGGGTACTGTTCGTCTGGCCCGGGTTGCCACTTGAGATTCACGGAAGAGACCTGCGCCATGCCGATGGGCAGCACGGCAACGTAGCCGAGAAGGGAATTCTTGATGATGACGACGCAACCTCGGGCTTGGAGGAACTGGTACCCGGCCTCGTCGGGCATGCTGAGGGCGCTGCCCACCCCGTCCACATCCCCATTCTGCTGCGCTTGAGCGTCTGGGGAAGTATAGCTGCGATGGGGCTTCAGCTTGCCGGTTTCGGTATCGACTATGACCTGCAAGTATGAAAGGCCCTTGATTACGTTGGCCTCGACGACGGGTCCAGCAACAGGTGCGTGTTGACGATGGTAGTCGTACGTGTTGAGATACGCATGCATAAAGGTACCGCCCTCGAACTGGGCGGCATACTGGCTGCCGGCCAAGAGGTCTTTGATATTCCAAGGGACATTTTTGATACTGATGTCGTTGTTCTGATCTACTGGCCAGGCACCATCGAAAGTGCAGTCGGCGGGGTAGACCACAAGCCGGTCATAGTCTTTGTCTGAGGGGCTTCCCGCGCTGATAGGCCGCATGCCAGGCTTCAGGAAACGAGCAAAGAACTGATTGATACTCTGCCAACCTCCAGATGGTACAATGGCCTCGTCGTAGTTGTATCGGGGAGAGTCCTGGAAAGACTGGATTGCGGCGGCGTTGATCGAGCTGCTCTTGCCCATCCAGCTGCCAACCTTGTTGGCGAAGTCGATTGTCCATTGGCTCAGTGGCAGGGGGTTCTGACCGATAGAGTTGGGGGCAATTGGAGTCGAGTACGGGGCAACGTTGATGGGGCTCTGATCGAGGACGAAGTAGAGCACGCAGAACGTATTGTAGATGAGCTTCCCGCTGCAGACTTCCGAGGGCACCCAGTTGAGCATGGCGCTGAGGAAGAGGAGGAAGCTGTGGGCGTCGACGATGCCCCAATCTTTCAACTGAGGAGTATCATGAGCTACTGCTGCTGCCACGGCATCTTCCAATAGAGCCAGGTTGCCATTGAAGATCTTATCGATGAGGTTTGTTTGTATCCATGGATCTACTGTGGTAGGCAGAGGGAAGGGAGCAGGATCGGGCGAGGAAGATTTCGGAGACATGGTTGCGCTGGGATTTTGATGGAGAGGGTAGGTGTTATTAGCTTGCGTAAGTCTTGTTGAGGGATCGAGGGATGGAAACTATACCACGAACTCATTGTCGTCGTCAACGCTTTATAGGCTCCTGGGCAACTATCTCTCGATACCACTGCGGAAACACAAGTCGTAGGTAAAGTGAGGAGAACAACAAGACTGGCTCAACCAATGCTGCTGAATTCTGGATTTGCGACGTTTGCGTTCCTACTCTTTCATTACTGGGTCACCTATCACCAGCATTTTCTCCTCATCGATCAATTGTGAGACAGAGCTGAAAGCCACGAACTCCAAGATATGATGCCCAGACCGCGAACAGCATCACGGCACTTGAGCTGAAGGTAGAAGAAGGCATGTAGATCGCTCATCGAGTGCCGGGAGTGTCATGTTCCGCACGGCTTCTGCTGGAACGGCCCGCGAACCGTTGATGTTTTGGTCGTCAGGTGAGTGAACACGGTATGTTGGTAGTTCAGCCCCAGACTCGAGACACGTGCCGTTATCTCAGCTTCACCTTTGGCTGAGACAACGGGCGGCAACTCAAAGCTCTTGCAGCCGGAGTCGGACTGGCCTGCTTCGCTTCGGGTCTGGGAGACGGTCTAGACTATCGTTGGAATGAATTTCAAGCAATGCTCCGTGGTATGGAATCTCTGGCTGTTGTGTCGTGGCAGTATCGATCACTTGACATGTGCTCTGTGAGAGTTTTGCTGCTGATGTGATGTGAAAGGTATAATCTTAGTCGAGGAGCGAGAGACTAAAGGTTCTCGGGAAAGATCACAGCTGCACAAGTCGACCGCCCGGAGTTGAGTTCATCCGCATGAAGACGCGAAAGTTCTGCCAAGCGTTATGGTTGCAGAAGATCACAAGGGTTCTACAGAAGACCATTACTTGTATCCTGGGTAAAATGAGGCAGGAGAAAATCGTCGAAAGATGGTCATACCGCACTTGTATCGGAAAGTCACCCTCGGCCTCCGGGCCTGCCATGAAGGGCAACGTGCTGGTTGCCTCAAGAAAAGCTAGCCGCATGATTCCACATCGGTTGAGCTACCTGATGCGAAGTACACTGCAGGCCCCTACCTTAGTATGTCAAACTCTCACACATTTAGTAACAGGATTGCCATGGCTCGCTTCTCTTGCACCGTCGTGTACCTTACTCGAGCAAGATTGATGATCAGTACTTACTTAGACCGGGCAAGAATTATGGGCTGGGCCCAAAAGTCTCGGCACTCACCGGGGGTTAAAGTTCCTAGCAATATCAAATGCACCTCTCATGGTCACCAGAAGATCCTAAGATATCACTGGTGAAATGTCCAGTGCCGCCGGGAGACGGTGAAGGCACCTTATTTTTGGGGGATAGGGGTTCGCAAGTCGCTCTAGCGCCTTTCTACATTTCAAAAATACCAGAGGCGGGACTGATTTTGAGGGTCTCTTCATGGCCGGAACAGGGCCGAGCCCGGCGAAGAATTTCTGGTGCCGGAAATGAGGAATTCCCGCAGCCAATTTCGCATTCAGATCAATTTTGCCCTTGTCAACGAGAGATATTCGAATGGATAGAGCCTCGAGGAGTTAGGCAACCATGTACTATTCTGTCGTCTCCGAAATCTTTGTCCACAATGTACAAGCCACGGGTCACGACCTGCTGTGGCTCTCTTGCCCACGATCATGATGATATTTGACCTGAGGTACCAGTCAAATCCGTCTACTTTCTGCGATTCTCCATGTTCAAACATGGTTCTGCTTTCAATAGTGTCCGGCGAAGAATGCGGACATGAATATCAGATCTGAACACAACACACATGTACACATAATGTTCTCACCGCAGGCTGATGGGCAGCATTGCCAGCTTTCAGCTCATTTCATGCATTGATCCCGGTAAGATGTCGCCCCAAGCACTTAGAGTAGGCAGAAATCGACATTTGAAGGACCCGTAGCAACGTTACTTTGCATCCGAATGCTCTTGAGACGTCTATTTTACGCAGAAAAGCAGTGTCGGTTGATTTGAGTGTCTCAGTCGCGATCATGCTGGTCCATCTCTTTCGAGTGATGGATCTCACTAGCCTCAGCTTGGTTCCATGGGCCACAGTCCTATCATAAGGGACTTTTTGCCTCACTCACATGCCTGTTCACTGGCAATGTTATTCTTCCTGATTAGGGGGAAAGGCCTCTCTTATGTTTCCCCTTTATGGCCAAGTAAAATAACTTTGCAGTGTCGCACGGCCCCTTGTGTCAAGACGGATGAAAAAGGGACGGACAACTGGAGTTCGTCCATACCGAAATAGGCTGCTCAGGTAAAGCGGGTTGAGTTCAAAAATAATAATACGAGATCTGTAACAACTTACCGTTCGCATGTTAGTAGTTGCCCGAGGAAGGTTTGAAGCCAATTGGCCATGAATATCAAGATGCTTGTCAACTGCTCCCTAACTCTTTACGTTACCGTACTGCCGGATCATGTATTGCCAGGGTCACCCTTTTCTGCGAATAGAAATGCTGCTGCCTTGTGCGGAGACGGTACAAAATGCTGCTGCCTTGAAGGTGGAGGACGACGTAGTAGGTCGCGGGCCTTTAGGTGCGCTTAACTCAAGACGATAACTGCCAGTCCGGGGTATGGAAAGCTCACGTTTAGTAATCCTGAAAATTGCTGTAGGGCTTCGCGGCAGGATCATTTGGCACATACTGATTGTGACGCCATGAGAAATAAGGCTACGGAAATATCGGCCTTTGGTTCTTAATGGTGCTCGTACTTTAACATCAAAGTTGGGCCTGAATCATGAGCCGCGGTTTCATGGACAGCATCATGACTCCGAATCACATCTTTAACTGATTCGAGTTCATGGCTAAATCAGAGGAAATGATGCTGAGACGGGTTTTGTCCCTCTCGGAAAAACTTGGGACGAACATGAAGAAACACCGTTAGGGTAATTCTTACAAACTCACATGCAATTGGTCGAGTGCTTGTCGTTCATGCAGGGGCAGAATGGAAAAGACTTCATCTGGAGCTCAGCCCTCCTCAACCCAGGGAGGTGCCTATCGCCTTTCCACTCTAGAAATCTCTTAAACTGTTGCCTAGTTGTTGGTTTCACGATTATTCCGCAGCAAAACTTTACGAACCACACTTTGCCCACATGAGCGGTTACTACTGGGTCACTAACATGCACGTGCGTCTATACGTAAGAGAGCAGCATTGTCATTGTCAAAGGAGGTTTCACTTTGGTCATCGTTAGTTGCTGAAATGTGGCGAAGCTGTCAATAGGAGAGCGATTCAGTGTCATGATAGCCAACATACAAAGCCCGATGCACGAGGAGGCAGCCAGGTGATGGAGAAAGCAACTAGTCGCCTGATGGGGCAGGTCTGAAAGGGCGTCTAACATCATATCTTGTGCTTCCATTAGTCTAATTTCAAAACTTGAAGAATGGATATGTGACGATGGTTTGTCGAGTCAGGAAGAATGGTCCATGGTACAGGACAGCAAGGTGCATCTGGTCTAGGAGTAGCCTGCAACGGTACCTGGGCAATGTTGAACTCACAAAGAAGTGTGTACTCTGAAGCCTTGGTTCGAGTACATGTATGGTGCGAGCCACTGGAAATCCATTCTATTTATTAGGATACCTTGTAGTCGATTATTCTCTTGAGAAAGACACCTTGGGCAAGTTTTTCGTTTTGAGTCGTCTTCAATCATTCACAGTCTGTCGTCTTGATACATGTAGCGTTCAGCAAATAATCAGGGGGTTGAAAATCTTTTCTGCCATACCCGATTTTACTTCTACAATCTTTCAGCATTGTTGTCTGTTTCTTTTTCCAATTGCTTCTATACTATCTTTGTGTTTACGATATACCCTCGACGTCGGCGATTTATCCCTTTCTTCGATTCTCCCTATTTTTCGTCGATAAACGAGAACCCATTGAACATTCATTTGGACAAAGACCTGAGCAACAAGGACACGAAGCAAGATCGTCTCTAGTGTTCAGAATGATAGCACTTCCTGGAAAGGTCATGTTGAAGGCCTCGGCGCTTGTTACCTTGGCCCTGACGGCCGCCTTGGTTGTTCATCAACTAAGCTATACCAAGGACTTCGCCCTACCCAACCAGTCCATAGAGGTCATCAGCCTTTGTGATGCTTCCGAGCGCCATGGAAAACACCCTCGAGACCCCATCGGATCAAGTTCAACAAAAACGCAAGGACCGATCCCCAAGCTCGTTCACCAAATTTGGAAGAACAAAAATGTCAGCACATACCCAGTACAAGCCTCTTATGAGACGTGGAAGAATACGATGGAACCCCTCAACTATACCGTCAAACTATGGACAGACGAAGACGTTCTCGAACTCATAAAGACAAAGTACTCTTGGTTACTATCGACGTACGAGGGTTATGCCCAGAATATTCAACGAGCCGACGTAGCGAGACTAGTCGTTGTCCACGCAGAGGGAGGCATCTACGCAGACTTAGATGTCTACCCAAGATCGACGGAGGAGATGTCTTGCGTGCAAAGCCTCGGCTTACAGGCTATCTTTGCTCCAACATCGGGCACTCTTGGACTCAGTAACCACTTCTTCATGGCAGAGCGTGGTTCCTCCTTTCTCGAATGGGCTCTTCAAGAAACCAAGCGACGCGGCGGTCCGACCTCGAAACGAATCCTCCTACCCTACCTCCAGGTCTTCTGGTCAACGGGCCCAATAATGGTGACATATGCGTTCCATCAATACGCGTGGATGTACAGCCCAGTACATCACGATGTGGAGCTGCTGGATGGAGGATACGCCCGAAAGTTATTTGGCCATGCGGTGGGGCGCTCGTGGCATGGTTCAGATGGGCATTTCTTAAACTACGTCTCAGACCACTTGGGAACTGTGTTGTTCTGGGTTACTATGTGCCTGTCGGTGCTTTCTTTAGCGACTGTAATCTTTCTCAAGAGGAGTCGCGGGAAGTCCATTGACTTTCTGGTAGGATGCGGATCTGTGTGTAGGAAGAAGAGTTGGGTAGCCGAAGTGTAAGCCTGGAGTCATTCTATAGCAATACACACTCCAATGTCAAGAAGAGAATACTTGGAATGTTGACCACATGCAATCATACCGGCCAACCTGCACTGAGTACATGTGTAACGAAACACTAACGTTGCCTTGCTGCCGGTGTGTGACGCCTTTCAATTAATGCGATGGTATAGCTAGACTGCCTCATACTGAAAATACGCTTAAAGGCGGCGACAAGGAAATGAAGGAGAGTCATAACAGTCATTACGAGAGAAGAGTTAAAGCAAGGCACCGTTATTCCCTCGTTGGGCGTCTGGTCAGCCTAACCCAAAAGTCCCTGGCGACGAAGAAAATGGCACTGAGAGTCTTGATTGGCTTTTCCGGGTTCATGACGGTGAAGTCATATCTCCTTAAAAGCTGCATGGAGACCCAAGTTAGTGGGCTGGTGATGTGAGGGTACGTGGGCAAGAGGGTTGTTACCTCAACAAAGACCTTGTTCAACTCCATCATGGCAATCGGTTTCCCGAGACAAGAGTACTTACCGTGGCCAAAGTGGGAATCAACGGCAGCGTTCATTCGCTTAAGCTCATCCTCACTTGCCAAAAGCCATCTCTCCGGGCGGAAGACATCGGCGTCCGGACCCCACACCCAGAGTGAGCGTCCGACGCCGAAGAAGTTGTGTCCGATCTGCGTACCGCCGGGAACGAAGTAGCCGTTTAGGACGTCCCCGCCTTCAGGTGCCTGCTTGAAGCCGAGACCAGTGACGGGAGGGTAGAAGCGCAAGCCTTCGCGGATGACGGCCTGGAGATATGGAAGTTTAGGGGCTTCGGCATTGGTGATGGGGGAGCTGATTACGCCGGCGGCAATGGCATCATCAATTTCCTGTTGGAGCCGTCGGTATGCGACAGGATTGTTGATTAAAGATAATAATGTCATGCGCATGGCTTGTGCGGCCGAGTTTGTGCCAGCGATCCTGAAAAAAGCATGAGCGTACGGCTCGGTAGGAATTGTGTATGAGACTTACATGTGAATATACACAAGTTGGATGAGTTCATCTCTATCGAGGCCATGGTTGATGAAAGCTTGCATCATGTCTTTCTGAGGCTTCGCGCCGGGTTGAAGTCTCATTTCTGCGTAATTTCTAGCGAAGCTGCGCTGTGTTAGTGGCCAAACTAACGCTGCCCTGAATTAGTTTCACTCACCCCATCAAACGACCAAACCCGACCTGATCACCCTCTTTGGGTAACATGAGTCTAAAAGGCCACTTATGAACGAGTCTTCCAAGCCAAGGAAGCACCGAGACGACATTCATAATCGGCAAAGACGACTCGTTGATTTCAATGTACCGAAACAGGTCCCGATCCTCAGCGAGAAACCCAAAAGCACCACCAAAGGAAACATCTCCAATGGCATCGAGCGCAAAGAACTGCGTTTTCTCGGCGAGATCCAGCGGACGAAATTCCGAGTCGGTGGAAACGTAATGTCGGTCTATCAGGCGGACGAAATTCATGAGCTGGCGGTCGATCCCGATTTCAAAGCCGTAACCTTCGTTCTCTTTGGCGGCGTACTATTCGGCAAAGAGGAGCAATTAGCGGAGCAAAACTCAAGAATGGCAGATGAAGACACCCGCAACAGCCGAAGGTCCAGGAACATCAAGAAAACAGACTCACAGCCGGGCCCATTCTCGCCCTCATAGCCTTGTGTTCGTTCTCATCCCGCATCGAAACGACATTATCCACGCCCGGAGTGATCCGGCCGGAGTCGTAGAAGTCGCCCTTGGTGTATGGCGAGCGGACGGCCGACATCTTGCGCAGCGAGTCCGGGTCTGTGCAGATGAGCTCGTTGGGCCCGATGCGGGCGAGGGGGCCTGCAGCGATGATCAGTGATCAGCGGCTGTCTCTCCAGGTTTCCGGGGCGCTTGTTGGCTTCGTGTCGCAACACCAAAGCCGTTCGATGCGGTTTCTGAACAGCGTTGATGGAGAGTGCGCTCAAGGCAAAGCTAACTTACCATACTTCCTGGCGATATCATTCAGGTGTTCATGATATGTTCCCCCAATTGCTTTCTTCAATTGCCATAGAACCGAGATCGAGGCAAGGAAAGGTCCAGGGATCTTTCGCAGGCGATACCATGAACGAAACTCCCACACAAAGAAGGCGATGGCAACCAGCAAAGCGACGGATTTTGCGAACAAGAAGACAGACGCACTCGAGCCTGATGTGAATTCCAGATGAGCCTCACCCAAGCCCACTTGGTTATGCCTAAATCCAGTCATTTTCCCCCGAATCTCTTGTCCTCCTCGCGTAAGATCTTCTCGTCCAGTTTCCCGTCCCGGGCCGTTCCAACAGTCCCACTGGAAGCGTTCCCGATTCGTCCTTTGCTGTCGCTGCGCCGCTTGATGGCTTGCTTCGCGTGTGACTGTGGCCCTGTGGGTGATCGAGTCCGTACTGGGTTCTGCGCGAGACAGCAGGGTAGGGTGCAAGCAGTTGGCGCCGTCAAAGATGCATGTCTCACTGCTTCGTCGCTGGCTACGGCCTTCGTTTTCGGCTCTATTATCGTTTGCTTCAAATATTTCCTATTTGAATGCGACTTTTAATGCTGGAATAACACGAGCTCTATGTTGTCGATTCCCTGGCGACGCTCGATATCCGCTCTCTGGTGTCTCGTCCTCCTAGTCTGTTGTTGGTTGGCGCATTCGCAGACCCTGTTCCTATTCTGTCATTTCTCGTTCTTCGCGGACCCGATAGCTTGGTAGCGGTTGGCGGGAGAGAGGCACAGCAGCAGTGACAGCACAGGGCAAGTCGAAAAGAAAGGAGACTCCAGACCCAGAACTTCGGAATCGGGGTCAGACTTGACGATGTCAGTCAGTGAGTGCGGAAAGTGAAAATAGAAGAGAAAAGGCACGGATGAGACGATAAATGGGAGAATGGGGAATTAGCTTCGCTTTATTGGCAAATGCGACCCAAGGAAAGGGGGGCGCCCACGTCCAAGGTGAAGAGCCGTGGCTGCGGTAGACCAATAACGGAGGTGGGTAAGCTGAGAACAAGCCTGGAATCGAGCTGAGCAAGGCCACTTGCACTAAGGATTTGCGTTAGATGAAGCATGTGGAAGATGTGGAGGATGACTGGCCCGAGGTCACCTTCTGGGCCTGCTTCTCCCTCAGTTTGCAAAGTTCCATGCCATGATGCGGTGTTCGGCCTCAGGGATGGATCTTGAGGTCAAGGTACTTTATGATGAATGTAGTACAGGGCCTTGGATAGATAAACACGGCAATCGTGTTTCCATATAACAGGCTTCCGTACATATAGAAGAATGTGCCATGTGTCCGGGCTTCTTCACCTTTGGTCTGGGATCCGATTGTCTTGATTTCTTTGTCCCGGTTTGAGATCCACCTTCTGACCGAGTGCCCGAATTTGACGGAAGCCAAGCGCAGAGAGGCATTGTCTGGAGCAATGAAACATCATCGAGGTAGGACCACATATGCAGGTAAACACTTGCATGCAAGATGCCAAGTGCTGCTGTCGACAGCGCCGTGCCAACTCACCAGTGACATCCACCCGCTCAACGTGGCCTCAGTAGTGGCATAGTCTCTCTCTGATGGTTCTATTTAGTGGTGTCTTCTTCATGTCAGTCCCCAGTCTCACTGCACACCTATAGGTTACCGTTAAGAGGTCACCCCACACAACCGATCACCCAATTTGGCCACTTTTTTCCTCCTTCAACACCACCACCACTTTCACTAGGTACGTCAAAATTAATCAAACAAATCGCATGTCACAGACCCGCTGTCCTAGACCCCAACCTTGAGGTTGGTGTTGAGTAACCCGGTGGCCGGGTTACGTAAGCCTGAGGCTGGATAAAACTCTGCATCCTGTATTCTGTCGCGCATGTCCAGAAACGTAGCTCCTTGAGCTACGTCTTGTCAACAGAGCCTGTACCTGCTTAGGATAGAGCCTGCCCGTAGCAATAGATTGTCTGATCCGCCTGCCCAGCATCCACCTGCCAAACAACCTGCCTGCTACCGTGACATCGCAAATATTATACTAAAATTACCAATAGATTCACTATGGTTAATTATACGGAAGAATAAATGAAAAACGCGGTTAATAATATCTATAAGAGTAAGTCGATCCGGAAGGCCTCTACTGACTAGGAAATCCCATATATAACGCTCTCGGGCTGTATTAATGGCGTAACTATATAGCGGAAGTCAAAAGGAAGGCTACTAGAGGTTAAGTAAGTACCAGGAGACCTCCCTAGTACGATAGGTAATTATCTAAGGAGAATTAGGACTCGCCTTAACCTATGCTTAAGTACGAGACTTCGTAACGTATTGTTGTAGATTATCGTGATCATATTGCTGTCTATGTTGCGTTCTCTCCTTTCCAGATGCAGCCAGGAGTATCCCTTATCTGAGGCACCTGGATTCCTGCATTTTTATTGGTTGGTCTCACCCAGATTATTATGGGTCCAGATTGCTCGTTCTGGTCCGAGCATACCCGTCCAATTCCACTTCCGCACTTCAACACGTATATCCTCTATAGAGATGGCAATGACCGCCTACTAGGTAAGAAGTGGCTTAAGGGCTTTCTATATAGAAATCCCTTACTAAAGACGCTTAGGGCACGGTTAATAGACTCTAAGTATATTAATTTAGTTATTATTAAGTCTTTATAAGCCTTTTAAAAGACCCTAATAATTCTATAAATTTAAAAGATCATAATATCCCTCTATTAAAATATAGACGAAACGGGTTTAATAGAAGAGACTAATAATGATTATTTAATACTAGATAAGTCTAAGAAGTAAACGATCTATATCCAGAACCTAAGAGATAGTACTTGGACTATAATACTCAAGTGTATCTTTACTAGTAGCCGTTACCTCTTACTATTAGTGATTTTTAAGGGGGAGACGGTCTAGCACTAGTGGTTCTTTAAGGAATTAACGGATTACACCTCTTGGAGCTTTATATCGCCGACTAATAGGTAGACCTCAAATTCAATTAGCGTAGAATGGCTGTAGAAGGTCTTTATACTTAATATGGTAGAGGAGGCTAAGAGACTACACTCTAAATGGCTCTTGATTATTGACAGCCACGGAAGTCATATTTTTAACGACTTTATATAGTTAGCAATGTTACTCTTAGGGCATTTAGCTATATTATCTACTAGCCTATTCTAGCTATATTACGTAGCCCTTAGATATATTCGTCTTCTCGCCGCTTAAGAATACTTATTATAAGCTTATTTACGAGTGCGGCCTCTAACTTAACTTAGCACCTATAGAGAAGTAGAACTTCCTCTACTATTACTTTTAAGTAAGGGAAGAAGCTTTATTAAGTCGGAATATATGCTCTAGATAGAGGGCAGTAGGATTATGGCCCGTGTCACGGTAGCAGGCAGGTTGTTTGGCAGGTGGATGCTGGGCAGGCGGATCAGACAATCTATTGCTACGGGCAGGCTCTATCCTAAGCAGGTACAGGCTCTGTTGACAAGACGTAGCTCAAGGAGCTACGTTTCTGGACATGCGCGACAGAATACAGGATGCAGGGTTTTATCCAGCCTCAGGCTTACGTAACCCGGCCACCGGATTACTCAACACCAACCTCAAGGTTGGGGGCTAGGACAGCGGGTCTGTGACAGCCCGTGGATATAAGTAAGCCACTTGAGAACCTATTATTAGTTATTCTAGTAGCTATAGACGTCCTATAGGCCCCCCCTATAGGAGCCACTACTTCTAGAGGTTCTTAAGATATCTTAAGAACACTATTATTATACTTAAAAAGTCGGGAGACCTTAGGAGATACCGGTAGCTCTAGAATGGCCGTAAAGGGGGGGATAATTATAACCCCGTAATACAGTAATTTATATTTAATAAAGTTAGTAAGCGATTAGATGCCTAGAACTTTGCCCTAGCTAATATTTAAGGGGTTATAAAAATAATAAAAGTTTAAGTTAGATTATATAAGCTAGTATTATGGGTAAAAGTTAGGTAAGATTTAAATGAACGATTTATATAAATTAAGGCTATTATAAGGGCGAAGAAGGAGGTTATAGTATGCTCTATATAGTAGATTATGGAACTAAGGTAGTACCGGGTATATTAGAAGCTTCTTTTGTTAGTATATATTTAGAGTTTAAGCTTTAGTAGCGCTATGCCACTAAAAGACTAATTTGCCGCCATAAAGTCTAAAATGCGAAGTCTAGAAAAGTGGCCAAATTGGGTGATCGGTTGTGTGGGGTGGTGACCTCTTATATGGCGTTACTAGTTCGTCCCGATACCAAGCCTGTTCCGTGCCCGGTTGCATTGGTAAGTGCGCTAGAACAGCGACGGTCCCTGCGGCCTGCCCCCGGAAACAATTGCTGAACACCAATCACGGCGGATCGGCTGAAGTTCTGAGAACGGCCGGCCATCTTGAATTCCACCGTGCCGGTCAGATACGCGTTATCAATGGCAAGACGGAACAAGGGTGCTCTCCTTCGGGAACAAACGCAGCACTCAATGAAGTACGGATACTCTCCAGAGCATGCTTGTCGAGTGGTTACACTCCGCTGTACCACCGTGGGGAGCTCCCTGCGGCAGCCAGCGTCTTGCTGAGACCTGAAGGCCATCGCGTTTGATGCTACCAAGCATTGTTCTCACGCATCAAAGAGGCACAAACGTGATATCAAAGTGAGAGAAACAATACTGAAGGCCAAGCTGAGTGTCAAGTCGTTCGTGAGCCATGGACCCCTCCCAAGTCGGGCTCCGGCCTGTGTCACTTCAATAATCAGGACCATGGATGGACTCACGATAGCTTCAACGACAAAAAGAGTGATTAGAAAGCATCTGATTGGTAAAAAGAATGGACGATCTGGGAATCGAACCCAGGACCTACCGCATGCTAAGCGGTCATTATACCACTAAACCAATCGCCCATGTGATGATCTAGCCCGGACTTGAACCGGAGACCTTCAGTGTGGCAGACGAGAGAGACGAGGCTCTCGAACTGTTAGACTGACGTGATAACCAACTACACCACCAGACCAATTTGTTTGATGACTCAGCTGGCCAGAACACAATATCTGAGGGGTCGATCGAGTGTGTGGAGGGCATCACGAAGCGATAGGGCCCGGTGGACAGGTGCAATTTGCAAGGGGAGTAGCAACCCACACCAGCGATGTGGGACAGCCAAGATCTAGGCCCGCCCATGCACGTCGTGACAGGGTTCCATTCAAAGCAAAATGAACCGGGGACTTAAGACAATGTCCTCAGTATTTAGTTCGGTTCATA